AATAGTTATTGGTACTATGTGCCTGTAAGTATCTTGCAACATTGAAACAATTATACTACGTGTCAAATAATTATACTAAGCTCAATTTTTATACATCATGTAATTCAGTTTAACGCATTATTTCACTTCTTTCAATCGATGTTTCATATGCTTGCAAAGCAAAACTACCGCTAGTTCCATAAACTTGCCGCCCAGATGGCACAGAGTTTAAGGGAGCCGACTGCGATACTGAAGGGGCCAGATTCGAATCCTGGAGAACGCATCGTTGTAACTGTCCGTCCCTTTATAGAAGGCAACGGTAGACACCTATTAGGTGCCTCCACAATAAAATGTCCACACCACTTGCGACCTTAACGAGTGGCCAATGTCGAATAGGCAATGCCTGCCATTGGGAAAAACAGTTCCATAAACTAAAAATAATATTTTACATTTTAAATAGCTGCACTGTCAACAAATATAGCGGACGGTTCTACAACAGCCTGATAAGAGTTTTCACTATATATTTAATAAAAAATTTTCTATGAATCTTCCTTCTTTATTAAAGATCTTTCGTTACTGTTTTTAAGCTTTCATTCTTGCGCTATAGTTTTATCATAAATAATACTGAAGCCCTCAGTTGACCGGGTTATGCATATTTTGGATAAAACTAGGCGATCATTTTCCAACGAGACACAAATAATAATTTTAATTAAAAATAAAAGACTGAAATGATTTAGGGAAGTTTTTGATTTGAAGAGAGGAAATGTCGACAAAAGATGATTACTGACCTTGGACGAATCTGCAGAATAGATGTATTAGTTGACAAGGTAAACCACGCTGGTTAACAAGTTAAAAGATCGCGACAGGTTTAACTAGAATATTCACTAAAACTGCTTTTATACTCGTTATCAATTAAAAAAACTGCGATTATATGGCAAGAATTTTTAACATAGCAATAATACAGCATTTTCCTCAGAAAAATATTATTTTAATCGGAAAATATAAGTAAAAAAGATTTAAAGTAAAATTTTAGCTATATCACAATACCACCATATTTGCAAGATCAATATTTAATAAGCTAACGTAGTTTTGGGGCAAGATGATCAAAAACATAATGCGTTAATAACTGCTAACAATCAAATGAATAATTGTATGATTAAGTAAACGAAAATTAATATTTTCCTAAAACGGATTTTTAAATTACTGTAAAAAAATCCGTACTGTCACTAATTACCCTATTTCTCAGCTTAATCTTTTGCACATAAACCAAACAACACAGAAACCCTAACTGTAAAATGTTTTTCTAAACTTGATGTTGCTCGTTTTTGAAAACCAGATACGCAGAAAGAGTTTATTGTGTTTGACTTATTTTTAAATAATTTTTATGTCTATGCTACGGGTAAGAAATATATATTCTGAGCATTACTTGTACATTTCTATGATTTTAGATTTGATAGCGATCTGATCTTATGCACCTTTCATATCTGCCAGTCAGTGAGTACGGATAACCCTTCCTCTACTGGCAGCCACCTCTTGAACTGACCAGCATTTCTAACAAGGAATGTTTTTTGAATAATGAGAATATGAAAAACCATTAAGGAAAAAATCTGGAAAAGATGAGTCTGCGGGTGCCTGTTATACAGGGTGTTTCAGCAAATCAGTTACAGACTTTCAGGAGAGACAGAGTACTTTTAGACAATGGAAAATCACTTAGAAATGCAGGTCGGAAACCTGCATTTCTAAGGTCTGGAATGGTAGTGACAACATAAAACACAAGAAAGGAAGCACATGAACAGGGTGAGAAAACAGGTTTATTATGCTTAGTACAACAGAAACCAAGAAATAAGAACAAAAACAAACAACGACTATCATGTTCGAAATTACGACCCCGGACCCTGATGCAGGCCTGACATCTTCGGCACATACAAGATCTGATGTTCTGGAAAATACCCTTACTTCCTCAGCAGCGCCACGATGCGTGCAACAAGTTCCACAGCACTGTTAACGAGGGTTTCGTACACCACTGTCTTGACGTACCCCCCCCAGAGGAAGTAGTCAATGCATGTGAGGTTTGGCGATCTTGCTGGTCAATGCACTGGACCATCCCTGCCGATCCCATACGTATCCCAAACTGTTTTGGTTCTTATTTATTGATTTCCGCTGCACTAAACATGATAAACATATATTCTCACCCTGTTCGTGTCGTTCCTTTCTTGCGTCCTGTGTCGTCACTACAGCGCCAGGAAATTGTTTCCCACAATGTATTGCTATGTCATTTTCCATTGTCTAGGTGTACTCTGTCTCTCCTGAAAATTTGTAACAGAATTGCTGAAACCTTGTTTAGTGAAAGTATCTTGACACACTATGAAATTATCATCACATAAGAGTTGGAAAGAATTGTCATTAACGTAGCTTATTCCCGTTGCTGATATTTAATAAAGTCACATAGCAACAAGGTACACAACTTGCGTAAAATATGACCAAGTCATAAAATGTGTATTAGTATAACAGATTCAGACAAATGTACAAAGCTTATTAAAAAAATTCCTAGGGAACATTTTCATCACCAGCGTATCTTGTTCCTAGATTCAGTCAAATATGTAAGACTTGCCTTTTATATTAATTAGCATTTCACACGGCGTTTCTGTGACGCGATATTCAGAGCGCTTCTGGTATGCCTAATGTTGCATTTGTCTTGGCCTTGTAACCAAGGGCATGATATTGATTTTCCAAATGCATTCTGACCTTCATCTACAACACTCAAGAAAATTGTGAAAAAGAAAATAACTTTTAACGGAGATTACTTTAATATTTTATAAGGAAGTATAAAATATTTCTCATGAAAAGTCTAAATCTTTTAGAGTTACCAAACGCCCTCTTTATTTATTTTTCAAAAATGAAATGTCTTCATTTTCAAGGATTAAATTAATGTCTCCAAAGAATTTTCAAACTCGAAGTGAATGTTCGGTAATTGGATCTGAGAAATAGCTTAGCTTAGCTTAAAAATAGCTTAGCTTTAAACTACGGAAGTTAAAAATTCGTTGCCAGCGAGGACTTATTTCCTCAAGGGCAAATGATCATGTGCCTCAAGCTTCCATTTTCATGGGGACCACCAAATCCTTATCTAATGTTTAAAAAATGCAAAATTTAAAATATTGTTTTCAACTATGGGATTTAAAAATATAAAATTAGAAGAAAGATTTTTTTTTTAATTTTGCGTTTTTTTATGTCTTTATTGAAAACTCCGAATACTGAACCTTTGTTTTGCACTCTCAATGGCGACTAATGTTGTTTATTGGAGACTGACTAACGGCAGCTTGCGCAGTCAGTCTCAGCTATTCATGTGGACACCACATCTGAGGCTAAAGATGTCATGTGAATATCGATTATTGTAGGCATGGTTATATGTTTGATTATTAAAGTGATAACACTTGAATTACATGATTTTGACCTTATTCCTATAATTTAATTAAGGTTTGTAATAAAATTAGCAAGAATTCTTTAGTTCATTTTATCCCAATTTTTACAAAAAAAGAAAAATAAGCCTCTGATATAAACTACAGTGTCTCACAAAAGTGATGGGACACTTGTGCTTTACGAAAGGAAACTGTAATAAAATAAATTAAAAAAACATGTAAAAATTGTTTGTGGGTGTGTTTCATACTTAAATTTAGTAAAAATTATTACATAACATACATTTTCTCAAAATATTAAAATAATAATTTAATAAAAATACAATTGTTTAGAACGGAGCAAAAAATGGCTCATATAAGTGATGGGACACCATTAGATACTACTACGTACTACAACAAAAATATTTTTTGGGGTTTTTATTTTTACTCAAAAGCAATTAGCAATATTTATAAAATCGTCTGCAGTCTTTCTCTCCAGTTTTGTTTTGAAAGTTTTGTGTTTTTTAGCTCTGTGCAGCCATGAATGCTAAACGAAAAGAAACTTTGCCTGAAATTCGAAAATTAGTTATTAATTTGCATATTGAACGTGAAAAATCTATTAGAGAAGAAACACTGCTGAAAACATGAGTCATTCAACAGTTTTAAAACCATTAAACGATATAAAAAGAATCATATGATTCAGGATAACAGAAGACCTCGCCGACCATCAAAGCTATCCAAAGGAATAAAGCGAATTATCGTTCGGAAATATTAAAAAAAAACTCCAAGAATGAGTGCTCCTATAAGTTGCTGTCTGATTTACAAGCATTATATGGAGTAATTGTTAATCCTGAGACTATTAGAAAGAGTAATTAGATATGCTGGATATCACGGTAGAGCAGCCAGGAAAAAATTCTTCGTTGAGTGAAAAGAATAGACAACTCAGACTGGCTTTCGCAAAATCCAACATAAATAAGGAATTCTGATTACTGGAATGAAGTTATATTTGCTGATGAGAGTAAATTTAATATAATTTGGTTCTTGACGGTAGAATCTTGGTGTAAACCCAGGAAAACCCAGGAAAAGAGTTTCGCAAACAGAACTTGGTGCCAACAGTAAAAGATGGTGGAGGAGGAGTTATGGTATGGGGTAAAATTACTCCAGAAATCACAAAAAAATTAGTGGAATTCATCCCAAGAAGATTAAATCACGTTTTAAAGTAAAAGGAAATCCAACAAAATATTAAAAACATTTTAAGAAGTAAAATTTTCGATAAATATTGATGGAAAAGTAAGTGTCCATCACTACGTGAGCCATTTTTGGCTCCGTTCTAAACAATTGTATTTTTATTAAATTACTATTTTAAATTTTGAGAAAATGTATGTTATGTAATAATTGTTACTAAATTTAAGTATGAGACCACCCCACAAAAATTTTTACAGTTTTTTAATTTATTTTACTACAGTTTCCTTTCGTAAAGCACAAGTGTCCCATCACTTTTGTGAGACACTGTATATGAAAGACATATTTTATATAACACATAAACAGAACCATGAAACCAAAACGTATAAAAAGATGAAATGTATATTTTGTTTAAATATTTTAAAATGAAAAAATAGTACTTTTTACCTTATTTTCAGTTTTCAGAAAATATTTTGTGCCACATAAACAGCAATAAATGTGCGTTAGTAAACAATTAAAGGTGCTTCAATGAAGTTGAATTTTCCAATATGAGTTAAAACGCTAATCGATTAGCTTACGTTAGAATTCGAAAAGGTCAAAAGACACAGACAGACACACACACACACAAAAGCAATTATTCGAGTTTGTGAATCACAAATCTAGAAATCGTTTTCAAGATAGAGATTCTCGAAATTCGAAGATTCGAATGTCTTACTCCTAGTTATTTTAACATGTCGCCAAGACGTAAAACTAATGCGCAAAGACTCTAGACGTCCAATTTATATAATATATTATTTGCGTGTTCCGCATTTCGTCACTTGCCGGTTAACCTTTTTACGTAGAATAACATTTTCATCGAAGGGAAACCCCGTTAACACTTTCTTTCTCCGCCGTTTCTTCAGAACAGACAGCTTCATAAGAGGTAACGAAAGCAAATGACGTCACTTCAGAAAAGGAAATGACGTCTCCCGGAAGGGCTGGCCTCCGACTTCTATGAAATCTCGATTTGGAGAACATTTAGCAGGAAAAAGGCACCGCATACGTGTTACGAACTGATTTTCCTTAGTCAAGAAGCATATTTTAGCGCGAGTCACAGGACATTGTAAGGAATTATTTTAAATACGAAATTAAAAAATATACATACTTCTATATATTTGCTTCTTTTTTGTTGTTTCCTAACACGTTTTTCATACTCTTTTGTCACTTTAAATTTTGTCATTCGTATTAATTAAAATTTCGATTTTTGTTTGATTCGAATAAAAACGTGACATTTTGGGATTTTATTGGCTTTTCATTGAAGCAGCATTTTATTGGCTGCTCATTCTACTTCCTTGAAGCGGGAAGGGGGTGGGAAGGAAAAAAGTTAAACTTCCTTTCACTTTAATTTTGCCAGGCTTCCAAACATTTTTATTCTTTTCTTTTTTATTGAACTTCCTTATATATAAATTTAATAATGGAAACGGTACTAACTTTCTATTCTTTTTTAGCACTGTGTACTTCTTTTTTTAAATCTAGAGTCTGGTATTTCGCTGACTTTTTTCGGGGAAAGTTTGGTTAACATTTTCACAATATACACTACTTTACTTCCTTTAACAGAATGAGCAAAATTAATAAATTAGTTATTATAAGTTGGTTCATTATACACATCATTTAGGAAGGAACAGAAAACGTATTTCAATGGTGAGTTCACCTTACTAATATAAGCATCTTTAAATACCTTTTTCAACAATTTTCAGCTAGTCCATTAAAATTTAAATTTTAGCGTCACAATGACATTTACTCATAAAACAAACCTTGATGGCTCGACAGTTTTCCTTAAGAAAGTCTTCCAAAGAGGCATCTTTTCTAAATTGGAAGTTTGCCATAGTAACCTAACTAATGAATCATTGACTAGTAACTTCAAGACATTACTAATGGTTGCAGTCAGATAAGCGTGATCGATTATTATAGTTAATTTCCAGAAGGAATTTTTTTCCTCAGCTTCATTTTATGGCAGTTCTCCTTTTCGTTCGCATTAACCTTAAAAAAAAAAAAAAAAAAAAAAAAAGACATTTTATATAATATTGAACTCATTAAAACGTAATAAGAGCTTTTTCTAGTGAAAAAAACTTTTAGCTCTATTTTTTTAACAGATTTCTTTGTTTGAATCATATTCTGAAATTAAGTTTTATTATTTCAAGAGCTCCCACAAATAACAGGCGACATTAAACTCTCCAGAAAATTAAATGTGTGACAGTATGGGCCACCACAAGCTGATACTAGGTGAGATCAATGTCAATTGAAATTACAAAATCACGTTCGTGTTTTAAATAAACGCTTTTAACAGCCGTCATTAAAATTAATCCTTCCAAAGTTTTGCACTGAAACATTTGTTTTTTTAGGTTATAATTTGAATGATGATAAATATGTGAACATTTGAATTTTCGAATCTCGAATTTTTTCCAAGATTCGAATGCTCTATTTTAAATATTTATCCTAGCTGTCATTCCCCTGTTTTTTACATACGTTCTCCTTTTCTTTAGGTGGAAGTAATTGAAGGTACTAAAGGCAATACCTCTATGTGCTTTCGTTAGTTCACCAGCTATGCATCAGTTCCAGCACAGAGATAATCCCGAGTTCCGGCTCCGGGGAAACAGCACATTTTATTCTCTCTCCTGTTTTTCAAGATCTATATTTTAGAAACTATCTATGTAATAGTATGTATAAGTATGTAAAATACTTTTAAAATATAATTTCTACACTTTTAAAGAATGAGTTAAAATTTTAAGATTTTCGCGTATGCGAATCACTCAGATCAATTTATTTTCAAAATAATCAATTTAGAATACAAAAATCTCGTATTATAACAGGTTATCTCCATACATCAGATTTAGGATGCTACGGGAATGTTGCCTGAAACCACATGTATACAAAATGGTCCCGTAAGGACGCGTCCAGGATCTTAATATCTCCAAGCGTTAACGTTCTTTTCTCATAAACAATGCGATCTGGAACACCCGTTTAGAAACCTATACTCCGACAGCTTAAAAAAAAAGCTCAAATTCATGAAATTTTAAAGAATCATACATATTTTTAGTAACCACAGATTCAGACTGTTACTTTGTAGATCAATTAGGTCTTTTTTTGGAAGCAGGCAAGATCAAAAATATGCAACGCCGTCGCCGGGAATCCAACCACGGACCTCTGGAATGCACCCCCAGCGTGCAGACCACCACACCACGAAAGCACGCCAAGAAGGCGGGATAAATACCTTATAACTTAATATTATTTTTCTACATGTAGACAGTTATAATCATTAATAAGACTGAATGCAGTTCTAAAGAAGGGATATTTTTATCTCGGAAAAAATATTTTGCGAAACATATGCAATCCACATTACTTATGGAAAAAAAAATTATTTTGAGCCATTTCTCTTAACAGACAATTTATTTCCCGATCATCTCATGAAATGTTTCCATGAAATTCGCAAACATTTCACTGTTAGATCTCACAGAAACTAATTATAAGCAAAGCACTAAACCAACAGGTGACTTTTTCTTTATGCAGCAGAAAGCCAACTGTAGGAACTCCAGTTACCTAAGTAATCCAATTTCAAGGTGAAACCGCAAATCAGAAAGCGTTACATAATACTTGATACGAGTTACATAATAATTTTGATGTAAATGACCCTGGACATCGAATTTTATGGAGAAGAGGCCATATAATTTATTCAACATGAATTGAGCACAATGAAAGCAACTATAATGATAATGATCAAAGCTTACACAAAGTGTTCCAAAACAACTTTGAAGCAGTTGGGAGACTAGGATATACTCACTGTTTTTTATTACAGCAAAATTGTGATGTGAGCGTGTATAAAGGAAAATTTTCTTCGAAATAAAACACAGTTCAAAGTTCTATCGTTGACATTCACAAATTTAATTAATTATGCTCAGAGGTTTACAAAACTAGTCTGGTAACTTAAAGACGTGGAAAGCGGAAAATGTCACGTCACTCTTAATATTTTGTATGGAATAATGTTTCCTTTCTCTGAACAAACTAATTATAATTTATTCTAATTATATCAAATTCTGTTTACGTGAACAAGGACAGGTACCGGAAGCTCCGAATAATGGGCATTCATGCATGTGTAATTACTCAGTTTTGTTTCCACTGGAAAAAGATTTAGCATTCAAAAATTTGCCCATTTTTCGTCCATTCAAATTTTCTAAATCCTAGTTTTAAAAAAAAGTTTAATATTTTCACGTAAAAGTTAGGAAACGTTGCTTTTATTGAGGTGCAGGAGAAACACGCACTTCAAAAAACAAAGGGGATTTAACTCTTGTAACTCCAATGGACTTAGAATGCGATTATCACTTCCTGAATGCCAAATTACAATCCCGAGTGTCAGATTCTTAATTTTTTGGAAATAATTCGACATTTCATTTTTAATGTCTGCATATAAACCTCTCAAATAATCCTACTCTTTCTCTCTTTACATATATCTGAGCTAAGCAATTTTTGAAAAATAAAAAAAAAATATGAACTGTTAGCCAAATATTTTTGCCAAATTATTTTGAGAGAATAAACCGAGATTTTCGAGTTGTAACCATTCTTCATTTACTCAATTTTGTTTGTATTGTCTTTATATGTATATATATTGTGTAAATAAAAAAGTACAGTTTAAACACTACTCTTAAACTTGTTTTCCACTGAACAGCTATTTCTAATTTTGCTTCAATTTAAGAGTCTCATTTTTATGAATATTAGCATACGAAAGTTCTGAGACACGTTCTACGATTCGGATTCGAAAAAATTAAAAACTAGTCCCAATTCTTACCCTTGCCATTATTACGCTGATTAAATTTGGTTCTCATCACCCGCGCTATAATGGGGACTATTAATATTGCAGTTAATATATGATTAGCAAATATAAGAAATCCTTTCGAATCAATTCACAATTTTGTAGACAGCTAATTTTTCACAGAATTAGGATGATTCAACAAAACAGAACTATCAAATTTAAGTTTAAAAAAATAGCTGATTTTTGTCTTTCATTTCACCTTCATCATTCTGCATCCTTTCTCCCCACAAAGAGAGCGGGAACGATTACGATGCAAGAGGGAAAGGGGAAATATATCGATCTGCGCACGCACAGCGAGTGTCGGTACAGGTAGAAGTGGGATTTTCTCAGCAATCAATATCGAGGTTAATGGGTCAGTATACGTCTGGCAGTAGATCGGAACATTCAGGGTTTGTGAATGTGGAATACTTAAGTGAGAAAAGGTTTACGCCGGCTGGGATGAGGGGCGGGGGTTCAAGACACAAAAAACACTTTTCATGTTCGAAGTTTCATTTAAATAGCTTGCCGAGCTGCTACGTTGCGCGCGGAAGTCAAATCTCCCCCCCCCCCAATTCGACACATGCGTACAACAGTTGCGGATATTGAACTGCCCGATCGTTCAATCTCTTTTTTCAAAACAATATCTTCATAGTTATACCAGGCTGTAAAAAAAAAAATTTGAAAGTTATTTTGACTCAAAAAATTTATATAGGATTATACAGTTGAATGGGGGAATTCATATGGGTTGAATTCTTATGGGTGTGTGTGTGTGTGTGTAATTATGGCAAAGCCTCGAGGGCTATCTGCCTAAGGGGAGGGATGCCTTCGTGGAGGACTTTCTAAGGGAAACTGGCTCGTATACACGTTACACATGGGGAAAACCACGAAAACGCCCATGCAGCCAGGCCGTTCGCGGGATTCGAACCTCGGCCCGAACTACCAGTGTTCAGCGACTTTACCGCTCGGCCGCTGGTGGGCCCTTGAATTCTTATGGGATTACGAAGTTCA